AGTCAGCAGGGGCTGATCTTGCCATGACCAGCTGAAATGGAAAGCTTTTAAAGACCAGATAGCCAGAACCTGCAGGTCTCTTGCTGAGCCAGTGGAGGCCTCCCCCTTGTCCTCTTTGAGGTCCAGCGCTGTCTCTGGGGGTAACACAGAAAGAAGCATTATTCCATCCTTTTCCATGCTGACTCCAGGATGTGCGCCCCTCTCTTGCCAGACTGGTATGGCAAAGGTCCCGGGTTCCTCTCCTCTAGAGCTCACTCCTCTCTGGGAGGTGCTAAACACACCCTTCTATCTACGAGCACAGGAGCACCGTCAAGCACCACCAGTTGTCATCCGCAACCCACCCATCGTCCTGCTCTCTTACCGCAAGAAACCTCTTTGCTCGTCCTTCCTTTAAAAGTTGGCATTTTTCCTGTTTTAAGCAGGGCTTCCCTCAGGCACGATGCCCGCGTCGCTGGTCTCCCTGATGGCTGCTGCTGCCACCATGCATCTGGGTGGAATTTAAAAGCAGGCCATGCAGGTGAGCTCTGTCATTTACGACACAGTGCGCCCCGTCGTTGTCCATAGCTACCTCTTTTTCTTTACTTTTACCACCAAATGCTTTTTCCATCAATATAGCAAGAACTCTCCTTTGAGAAATTTAGGGGATAAGTTTATTGAGATGCGCAGTGGTTTTATTTTCCCCCCCCTTTTTTGTACACCATCCAGAGCGCCACTGTTTGAGTTGGGTATCCCTATAATAAAGTGTCCTTGTTTCAAGCAGGGCTGAGTACCTGGACAGTCTCTTGGCAGGTGAGGCATGGCTGACTTACAGATTGTTACCCAAACAACTTAGGAAGTTTCCCACAAGCCCTGTGCAAGTTCAGCACCATTTCATGCAGGTGGCCAGGTTTCTCCAGGCTCTTAAACCAAGTCCAGCTACCTGAGGTTTGAAGAAAAGCTGCTGAGGTTGTACCCAGGGATTTTTGTGCGCAAAGCTTGCGTTCTGTTTGTGTCCCTCACTGGACAGGTGTTATCTCCTCAGGTATGCTGGGCTTCAAGGTGCCTGAATCCTATCACCTCCAATCGCAGCGGTGTTGGGCAACCCAGCATTTTTCAGGAGTGGTTTTTCAGAACTTCAGACTTTTATTCCAGTCCTGTCTTTTAAAATGTATTATTCTGTTTCTGCACCCTGATTCAAATTAATTCCATTCTCTGCTTGATTTGATTCTAGCCATAGTTACATTAAATAAGGTAGATTCCAGTTGAACCTGAGGAAGCTTCAAACTGTACTTGGACAGTTGAACCAGTTGCCTAAGGAAGTGGTGGGCGTCTGTGACAGAGTGGCCACGTTCACATTAGGCATTTAACTCTGTTGCTTAGTTAGCCAATCTCCCCTTGAACACATCAGCTGTGTTGAAACGAGATGTTTCCCTGGATGCATTTCTGCATCTTTTCAACTTTGTTATTTGTTGTGTTTAAGCTAAATGAAATGGCTTGCATTCATACAACACTAATCATAGTTGAAACAATGCAGAAATGTTGTACAGATGCAGACAGTGAGCATCTTGTATGAACGTAGCTGATGTGTTCAAGAGAGGACTGGGCAGGGTTGCCTTAAGTGGGACCTCATTGCTGAGCCCTAGATTTTGGCTTGAGGGTCCAAATGGATCATCCCAACTTAAGGATTTCCTTGATATTCGATTGGTTGCATTTTGAACGAATGCAGTGTATGAGTGAATGAAACCTTTTTCATCAACATGTATATTTATTTTCCATTACAATAGGTATGGTAGATTACTTGCAAGTATAAAATAATAAATGTTTGTAGTACCTAAATCTTTAGATTTTGTTGTGCTGATAATATATTGCCAGAAGTATCTATCAAACAATATCACAAAATTATCTTGTGGCACCTAATGAATATTCATTTTATTATGAAACGAATTTTCACAGGCTATAGATTATATCAGATGCATGGCAACTTTTGAAGAAACCTGTGATGGACCAGAATAAATAAAGGCAGGGAAAAAATGTTCTGAACTCCCAGGATAGCCTGGAGTCAAAACTCAGATACTGAAAATATCACTTTCTGCAGTGTTGATTAGATGAACTTATGTCTTCCTCCAGGCACGCAAGAAGCTAAAAGTATCGCATGCCTTTGAAAGTTCTTGAGGCCTTGATGCTCAGAGCAGAAATCCAATAAAGATGGTGGATTCTTTCCCCAAATGTTCCATCTTATGTGGTATTTTCAAGTGGGTGCAGGACCATTTGGCTCTGCCCCATCTGGCAGTTTAGGACTCAGATTTAAAATCTTTGGGAAATGAGGGAGTAAAACAGGTGTTGAGCCAAAATGACTACCCTCACATGCATCCCAAGAAAGACAATTTAAGAATGGTTTTGTTGGCTGGGAGCAACCAACTGAATCCCAGCTGGGTTGGCAAACTGGGAATCTGAGATGAAGGGCAGGTTCTTTGCCCAGTCCCCTGCCTCTGCCACAGGTTTCCTTGGGAGGCTAAGACAGACAATTGCAGGCTGCAATTCCCTTTCAGGAAGTGTGTCTTGAAATGTTTTCTTGCACATACATTTAGCATTGCCCATGTCCAAGTTGCGTTATGGAAAAAAATAAGCCAAAATGTCCACTTCAGCTTTGAGGCATTTATGGTGGAAACAACAGTGAAGGAAAGTTGATGATAATACTGTAGTGAATCCTTCCCCAAGCTTCAAGCCTTCCCAAATGTCTTAGCTTCAGTTCCATTCTTCAGCCTCCCATCTGGATGGGGCTGACAGGAGCTGCAGTCCACATCTGAAGAAGCCCAGATGCAGAAGGCTGCACTGGCAGAACACATTACAGAACAGAAACAGACCTGGTAGAGCACTGTCTCTGGGTTAAAATCTGGTCATTTGAGTATGGGTAGGCTGTGTGGTCTCAGGACTGCCCTTTTTTACTGTCTTTATTAAAACCGACCCTCTGTGCCCAGGGAGAAAATAGTTGGGCTTTCCTTAGGTCCAATTTATAAAAGCCTTTTCTGTATAGCGTGGTGACTTTTCTGGTTGATTTTGGCATGTCGAAGTTGTCCCCTGAATATGCTGCAATGCCTACCAAAATGGTGGTTGGCCCCTCCTGACTGAAAACTACTTCTTGAACATTTTCCAGGACGTGTGGTGTCATGGTCAGGAGGTGGGCCGGCGTATTCAGGAGATGGCTCTGCCATGCTGGAATGGCCCTGAAAAGTCACTTTGTGGTAAGTATACCTTCTAATGGGAACCGGGGAATTGGGGGAGGAGAGAGAAGGGGGCATGAAATTTGTTCCAGACTTGAGTTGGGCTGATCGTTGTCGGTTTTGACCAAGAAATGAAGCAGAAATTGTACATGAGCATCGGGCAGAACACATAGCTCGGTCTGAAATGCAGGATAAACCCTGGAAGCAGAATTAGAGGAGCCTGGGAGCGCCTTTCCAGACTAACCAATTATATTAAAAGGCAGAAGCTTTTGTGAACATGTTGGTTATGCAGATGCAGGTTCCATGGGAGACACGTTAAGAGTACATTATCAACTAACAATCATGTGTTAAAAAGCCATTCTGTTGGTCCAGGCCTTCTGATATAGCCTGAAACATTTGGATGTTTGTGAGTTTCAATAGAAGCGAATATGTGTAGCTCAGGGTTGAACTGTGGAGTCCTTGGGGTCCTCTGAGCTTGATTGTTTTCTTGCAAACATTTCGTTACCCTGCCAGGTATACTGAAGATGTTACCTAGCGGGGTAACGAAACGCTTGCAAGAAAACAACCAAGCTCAGAGAACCCCAAGGACTCCATAGTTTGTGAGTTTGGCAACCTTTCGCTCCATGGTACTGCTAATGTTTCCCAGAGTCGCTGGGAGTGAGCCAGCACATACATTTAATAAATCGTCGTGGTCGTCATCATTTATCCCAAAATTATTACTTTATCTGCAGTAGAGTGTCTTGGGAGGTTGAAATGCTCTGTTCTTACTTTGTCCTTCTTTTGAATTCTGATGTCGAACTTACGTCCATTCATCGTTTTGCTCAAAGTTGTCCCATTTGTCTTCTGTAGTGTCCAGAGGGGTGTTGCTGGCAGATGATATCTCCTTAGAGGAAGAGCATCTAATCTTGTGTGTGAAGTTGTTGGGGCCTGTGATGGTGCTGTTGGTATCGATGTGGGGGCAAAGTAGGCATCCGAGTTTGTAGCAGGTTTGCGTTCCATGTTAGCAGCATTACCCTGTGTTTTCTTGTGCTTGTAAGAATCTGTTTCAGGAGCTACCAGACTCCTCCTGATTTTTGGCTGCCACAGATCAACACAGGTCTCCTCCTGCAATGCTTTGGAAGCAGCAGACTCACAGATAAGGGGTCAGCCCCACCGGCTGCTGCAGCCTCCCCCAGGCCACTCTCTCCTTGGTATCCCAGACTTCAGTCCTCATCATCCCCAGCTGCTCTGCAAAATAGGACTCTCTGTGGTGGGCCTGGCGTCTTCTTGGCATCCACCCGTATTGATGACACCCACATGCTAGTCTGTTACGTGACCTTGAAAGCAAGTCTGCCTGCCTTCCCGCTAGCATAAAGGAAGTTGCGAGCCTCTCCTTGCCAGCCCTTCGTAAACAAAGGTGCTGCTTGCAGACTGGAGGGCTCTTCAGCCTCCCGAATCTCCCTCCCCCTTTTCCCCTCCCAGTCCACCCTTCGAGTCCCTTTCTGGTTCATTCAGCCTCCATCCTCCTGCTCTGTTTCCCTGGCAACCCTAAGTGCACATCCTGGAAAACTTGATCCGAAATCTGCTCTGGGCAGCTTTCCAAATCCATGCTAACCTGATTAGGTACCTCTGGGGGCCTTGCTGGCTAATCAAATTAGGTAGCTCTAATGGCAGTGAGGCTTTGAGTGGGCAGAGAGCAGTAAAACATAGTGTATACTTAGTGATAATTATACTTGCTGTTGTGTCATTGATTTATATGCCATTCCCTTTTTTATGTGCCCAGATATATAACCCCTCTCTTTGTTTTTGTTTCCATTGCAGCCATCCGGAGAAAGGAAAATGGATGGTATGATGAGGAACATCCACTGGTCTTCCTCTTCCTGGGGTCATCAGGAATAGGTAACGTTGCTTTCCTTCTCCAGAGTGAGGAGGCCCTTTGCAGCTGTCTGTGGCTTCTTCTGTATTGTGCTTCAGAGGGATAAATGGGAAAAATTAAGGAAAAGATGCCACTAAGGTTTCAAACGCCCTTCTGCAATCCTTCCTCAGTTTGATGCCCTCCACGTGTGCTGAACTTCACCTCCCTTGTCCAGGCTAGTTGGAGAATTATGGGAGTGAATGTCCCCCGTTCCCAGAACGGGAAGGCGCCAGGTGGCCGAAAGGTTCTCGGCCCGAGTCAGAGGTAGGCGTGCGGTCCGTTTACATGGAACCCGTTAGCCACCAGGCAGTAGGAATCGCTGGATCTGGATCCCGGGGAGCCACTTGTGGCGGGATGCAAAGGCTTCATGATAGTAGTCGTTCCAATTCAACATGCCGATGGGGAAATTGTCCAAGAGCTAGTACTGCTACTATTACCTGCTTTTAATGATCATCGTTCAGTTTCAGTTTGAAAAGTGTTTAAAAGTCTTGGCATTGCTTTGTACACTTTAGTTCTGCACTGCCAGATTCATATCTGAAATCTGTTCACGATAAGCAAGAAGAAAGTTTGTGTTCCTTGCAGCTGCTGTAAGGACATGCCTGAGTCTCTAGCAAGAACTGGGAACTCAGATGGCTCAAGAGGAATCTTCTTGCCTACGTTTTTAAAAAAATGAAGGGAAAGAACAAGGTGTCACCCTGACCCTTTCTGTCCTGGGGCTCCGTTACCCTTTAGCTTACATTCGTGGGCCAGGGCAGGCATTTATAAATGTACCCACAGATCAGAGCAGGAATGCCTGGTTTTTATGATTTAATTACAGTCAAATGCCACCTTTCCTTCATTATCCAAGGAAAGATGACAGTCTCACCTTGGCAGCTCTCTCCTCAGAATCCAACCCAGCAATGTGGCCTTTTCGTTACAGCCTCTCTTAGGGTGACAGGCAAATTCAGTGGGTGGTTTGCAGACGCCTTTTCTCTTCCGTTCGCTTGCACGCTCGCTCTCTCTCTCTCTCTCACACACACACACACACACACACACACTTCCCATACCTAGTAGAACATTGCCACTCACTGGCTGCTTCTGACAGTGTGTGTCTCTGTGTGTATGTGTGTCTGCTTGTGTGTACGTAGGAGGGGGTGGACGAGGACACCTGATTGCATCGAAGGAAGAGGCAGAGCGGAAGGGCCACTCCGCCGGCTCCTGTCCTCCCAGAACTGCCTTCTTGTCCATTTCACCCCGTTACTGGGTGAAAGTCAGTTCCAGTGTGTGCTTCTTTTCCCTCACCACCATTCCCTCGGCGTTGGGTCTGAGACATTTTGAAGAGGACGAAACGTCAGAAGGAGTCTGGGAGCCCCTTTTCCGAGTAACCCGTTTTATAAGAAGGCGAAAGCTTTTGGGAGCTGCAGCTCGCTTCACAGAGGCACAGAGCAGTTTGACTGCATCTGAGGAAGCTTGTGCCTTTTAGTAAAACGTGTTACTCAGAAAAGGTGCCACTGTGGGCTGACATGGCTCTCCTCCTGCAGGGCCTCCTTTGAAGAGAACAGTTAAAGCCCCAAGTCAACAAGTGGATTCCTGCACTGAGCAAAGGAAAGGGCTGGACTGGATGTCTCCAAGAGCTCCTTCCAGCTCTAGGGCTCTCTGTCAAAGGAGGAGAGAGAAGGGGTGCTTTACAAGTCTCCTTTCTGTTTGTTCGTGTGCTAAATTACATTTTAGGGTTATATGGAGAAGTTGCCTTTGGCTCTGTTCAGACAGTCCATTAAATGAGGAAGCTTAACTCATGTTTCAGGTGATAATGCATGGTTTGCACCCAGCCAGCAAACCAAATCCAGAAACTCTATTTGTGCCAAATAATGTTGTGTCTGGATGGATACACTATAGTTACAACCATCCTGCTCTCTGCAGAGGATTTTAGGTCTGGGGAGAGGAGACTGGACTTGAGAAGTGGACTAACAAAAATAGCAAAAATGAAAATGAACAAGCAACTCTGAATTCTAGTTCCCTGGCTTTGAAAACTGCCTTCTGAGTTGTGTTTAGTTCACTGCTGTGTTGTGGCTTGGGTGTAAACTGAATCATTTTCTGAGCTTGGGAACTGAGTTTAAGAGGGGCCTGGCAAGGAAGAATCCCAGCAATTTAGATAGCTGGTGCCCAGGGTGGACAGGGGCCTAGGCCAGTGTTTCCCAACACTTGCAGTGTTAAGAGGTGTGGACTTCAACTCCCAGAATTCCCCAGCCAGCATCCTTTTCTAGGAGTTGAAGTCCACACCTCTTAACACTGCAAGGGTTGGGAAACACTGGCCTAAAAGCTAGGGTGGCTTTTGAAGGTGCTGGAAAAACGGTAGCGTCAGAGAAGTATCAAGAGAAAAATCTTTGCCCTGATGTTCCCCTTTGGGGCTGACACAATATATTTCTGATAGATTGATCATTCCTGGGTTTTTTCTGAATGATTGTATTATTACATATTTGTACATAGTTGCATGTAGGCTGCTTAGAGTCAAATAACTAAAGCAACATAAAAGCCCTCATGATCAATAAATAGTAAATAAATCCTGAAGGTGCTTTCGCCTTTGGGGCACCCTCCAGAACAGCAGATACCTGCGTCCTGCAGGAACTCACCTGGCCAGGAACAGCTCTCCAACTCTTGTGAGCTGCCTGCCTGTTGGTACATATCAGCGTAGATTTATTTGGTAATACGCATTTTGAATTGTTCATTGCCCTCATGCCTAGACTTTTATGACCAATGTTGTATGTAAATATCACGTTTCCCAGCATGCTCCTTGTCTCAAAATCAAGGTCATCGCAGTAGGGAGACCTGGGCCTTCTTACACTAACCCAGTGTTTCTCAACCTTAGCAATTTGAAGATGCGTGGACTCCAACCCCCACAATCCCCCAGCCAGCATGGCTGGCTGGGGAATTGTGGGAGTTGAAGTCCACGCATCTTAAAGTTGCTAAGGTTGAGAAACACTGGGTTAGTGTAAGAAGGCCCAGGTCTCCCTACTGCGATGACCTTGATTTTGAGACAAGGAGCATGCTGGGAAACGTGATATTTACATACAACATTGGTCATAAAAGTCTAGGCATGAGGGCAATGAACAATTCAAAATGCGTATTACCAAATAAAT